ACAAACAATGCAAGCTTGAATTAGCAAGTATTCGCCAATTCTGTTCTTTCACATAATGCATAGCATTATTCAACCATAAAATGCTTTCTCTGGCTGAGTTAAATGCTCTGGCAGTTCTCTGTTGTCCTAAAGTAATTTAAAAAAAAAAACCAAAAACTGCGTAACTGCAAATAAACAGCCAGAACAAAATAAAAATATGCTAACTGGAAAATACTGTTGGCTTTTCATGGCAAACTCTTTGGATGAGTTTTGTATACACACATAAACAATTATATTATATTATATTATATTATATTATATTATATTAATTATATCTTAATTCTGCTAAACTGCCTACTAGAGTGTTTAATATTGGCTGACAATGGATCTATATTTTAATAACAAATTGTGGACAATATACCCAATATATGCAATTCAGTAGAATATAAGAAGCTTTGGAACCCAAAACTTATATGAATTAATCTTAACTACAATAATTGGTTGCCACATTTCAGGAAAAAAAGCAGTGGATGGAAGTAACAGCAACAACCTACAGCACTTTTAACTATAATATATTCCTAAGAATCAGCAGAATAACAGCTCAGGATATGACTACCAACAGACTAATGACACATTAAGGGAAAGAATCCAACAAATCCAACAAAAAAACAGGATCTTCTAGCATTTTCTTCTGTTATGGTAGGTACATCTGTATGTTGTAAGAACACAAGCAGAATGAACATGCCACTGAAGAAAATCATTTCGACAAGAACGTATTTTATATTATAATCAATGTTTTTCTATCCCAGAATTTGAAGTGCTGGCCAACAACATTTACACTTATAACATTCCAGCTTACTGAAAATGCTTCACTGACAATCGAGAGAGCCATAAACACAACTGTCTGTTAAATTCATTAAAGTTTCACTGTCAGATGTATTAACACTTCTGAAATTAAAAGAATAGTCTGTATATAATGCATCGGCCGAGAGCTGCAGAACTGCAGTCGAGCATCTTAATGCTTAATTAACAACACTTCAAGCTACTTTCATATAATCATTTGTTGCTAGTTTACAACTACTGTTAGATGTGCCATATCTTGAAAGTACATACTGGAATATTCTACACTTAAAAACAAAGAGCAGCAATTCCCAATGGAATTACTGTTTCCCTCAAATTCCCTTAATTTTTTTTCCCCAAAGCATACTACTCTGTATGCACTGGCCAGCAAAGTAATGCTGATGTACATACTAAGATGTATATCTTTATTTCTTTAAAAAAAAATTAGGTTTAATCTGGAAATTGCTCCATGTAGACAGTGCACTGCACTGTGAATGGCCAGCCAGGTATTTTATGAATGGAGTGGATCACGTGCTCACAGCGCTTCTCGAGCTGATATTTCCCACATAACAGTGTCAACAACCAGAGAAGCAGCATTTTTCAACACAAGAAACCAGAAAATCCTAACTCTTGTACTGATTAATCTTCTTTTTCTACTGTCCTACAAAAAAGTCCACTCCCTGTCAAGCAGAATCAGCCAAATGACAAACGTGGCGTAGGTTTAATTATTTTTTTTATGAATGAAGACTGTGGTATGCAAATTAGAACAATTCACAAAAAAGAAAATATGGCGGCCGCTGCTTCCCTCTCAGTTCTAGAGGCATTGCAACATTTCACCTTATCAACTAGCTGGGTACAATGTTTTGTACTTTGCCTATTACAATCTAGGTTTATCCCCTGTTGTTTTAGTTTAAGAATAAAGCACGTAATTAACAAAAGAAGGCGGCTCTGAGTGACCAATCTTAAAGCATTATTGTTTTATTTGGATGAACATCTGCAAGTGACAAGTGTCCCTTCCCCACCCAAACCCAAGAATTGTATTTAACATTTAACTACCACAGACACTGGGAGAAAAAATTACCATCTACCAGAAGAATGTTTTTGGTCATAATTATTGTGAACTATGTCCAATAAATGAATTGACTAATTTGCTATTCATTCCTCAAAATAAGGGTAACCATTGAAAAGGTAGGTATCATAGGTAATGGCAACATTTTCATTATCTAGAAGAATTGGGAAAGTTCAAGACCACTGACAAGACTAGTATGCTTTCGAATTCCATATATGTATATAGGATGTGGCACTTTGCTCTCAACAAATGTTTTGAAAATTGTAATTCTGTAAATATATTAATGCCCTCAAACTAAAACCACTCATCTGAGAATAAACTCAAAGGGGCTTACTTCCGATTAGAAATTGATTATTGTACTGTAAATATATTAAACATCCTCTTTATTCCAGTCTCTAGTTAATGGAGAAGTCTTAACAGCTCATTACAAAATTAAGCTTTAGGGGAAGGTTTAACAGAGTATTTACACTGAGTGACTCATCCAATTAAAATTCAGGACCAGTTTCCTACAGGATGAAGCTCCCACACTTTACTTGGAATATAAAACATGCACATTAAAGAAGATTAATCAAGAGGCGGAGTATAGGCCATTGCTAATCCGGGGTAAGCATGAACATTCCCCCCCCCCCCCCCATATCCCAGATTGCCGTGACTTTCCAAAAGCAGCGAATTTCCTAAGAGACATTTCCTATAGGTAAATAGACATAGGCAGACCGACATTTCGGCTAGAGAAAAACTCCAGGAAGACAATAGGGGCCACCAGGAAAAGGAATCGTCCTCTTAACTAACCCACCCAGTAGAGACGAAAGCTAACTTACTCATGGTTAGAATTCGCCGTCTCTTCGCTCATTTTTTCCTCACCGAGATCCGACGCCGGGATGGAGCAGCACTGACGCGGCCAGGGCGCAGCAGGAGCTCACCAGAAACCCCACCATTGTTAAACCCCAGATCTAGCCCCCCCTTCGCACCCTTCGGCCTTGAGTGGGGTGGGATGGGGTGGGGTGGGGGGTAAAACAGCAGCCTTCCAAGCCACCTCCGGAGACTCGGACTGGCTCCTAGGACGGGGGGAGCCGTCAGCGGCACCGATCGCAGCTTCTGCTTTTTTCGCTTGGAAAAGGGTGGACGCCGCTGGTCCCGGCGGCGGTGACGAGCGGAGCCTCTCAGCTGCAGCGCAGCTCCCGAGCAGCGTCCTTGTGTGGCTGCAGCTGCACCCGGACAGGCGCCCACATTGCCCGCTACTGCAGCAGGTCCTTCATCCACGCGCTGGCCGCCGCCGCCGCTCCCTCTCCCCCTCTGCCGCCAGAAA